ATGTACATTGCCAAAGAATCTTGTATCTTAGCCCTCTCCAATAAAGTAATTCATTTAATGGTAATTTATCATGTTTTTTGTAGCTGTATTTGTGATTTAATGTCTCCCTTTTTTTAAATAAAAAAAAAAAACTAATATCTCAAAAGACATTGTAAATCCTGTATGGCTGGATTTTGAATGCGGTAATGTTGCATAGTTTTTGTTTTTCCTGGTTTCCCAGGCTGTATGTAAAGTGGTGTAATGTATTTACCTAACAAGTCATTTTATCCACTTTACTGATTATTATTTAGCAACAATCTCATTTTGTAAATATATTATGAAAGCACCAACAGTGCTACCATTTTGTAGCAAGATCTGAGGTATTTGGTCATGAATATATGAGCAAACATATTTTCTTCCAATATGCCTGCACTACACAAGCAATTATGTCAATAGGTCTTCATGGTTTGAAAAACAGTCTTCTAAGGATCAGTGACTATTACGTTTTACTCCTTTAGGTAAACAAAATGCATTTATGAATAAACACTTTAGAGTAATTTTTCCTCAACCAGCTGCGTTGTTTTCTTCCTTAAAGATTTATAGATGTTTTAAAATGTAAGCTTTCCCGGTCACTCTGGGGGTTGGGGACCGCCTTGTTACGATAAAATCACCGGGTGAAAATAAAGTCCCTTTAAAGAATGTGACCAGTGAAAGTAATTAATTATTCATAAAAAGCCATAAATCATTAATGCTGACAACTGAAACCAAATCTGTTGAAATGGTTTTTAAAAATGGTTTGAAATCAAACCTCCTTATGTGCAGCTCATCAGGTCTGAACACACACACACACACACACACACACACACACACACACACACACACACACACACACACACACACACACGGAAACCCCCCACCATGTTTAATTCAGTGTGTTGCACAGAATTGATCCCCTGCCGTGCATTGATTGCAAGTTTAGTGAAGATATTGATCTATTGATACTTGAAGCTCTTGTTATGAAAATGCACTGTGGGCAAGCTATAATACACCGGCAGGGACTTGTCACTTCTACAGTGAAATTCACGTCAATGCTCTCCTATAATCTGTTATGTATTTCTGCAGCTGAGATATTACTATGAGATTTATATCAAAGGATTACCAGAGTTTGTTAGGGAGGGAACAGCTGGCAAACGGTTAGGTAAAGTGCGCCAAACTCCTCTGGCTATTTCTGCAGAGACCCACATGTAGATTCTCCATCTGCGGTTCCTCCACAGTGTTTGTGCTGAACTCAGGTCAGTGGAACTCTTTGCACTGAAACCCACAGACTTGGAATGAAATATTCATCTGCATGAAAATGGACGATAAATGAAGATTTTAGCTGGAGGAGATCGAGAAAAAAAACGATCCGGTAAGCTACGATGGCGTTTTGACCTGTTAACACTGGGGTCAATCAGCTTTTCAGGCTGAAAATGTATCTTTGTACATGGTTAAACTGTAAGTTGTTCAGTATTAGATATTTCAGAAGGTTCATAATTTCCTATATGATTTTCATTCCAAAAAGCGCAAGTATTCAGTTTGAATTACCTTTAAAAACAAAGGCCAAAGGACACAAAATGTACCCACCATGATGACATTTTTTGGGCAGGACAACAGGCACTCAGGGCAAAGCAACAACCGCTGAAGACACTGAGGTCACGTCTCTGGTATTTTGGGAGATGTGGAGGTTTTTGCAACTTGCCACCATGTTTAACTTCCAATTTTAGGAATTATATATTGTGTTTAAATAGTTTGCCAGGATAATAATGAGTAACTAGATCAACTTATAAGTTGTAATGTGCTTATTTTCGAGAGTAACTGAGAGTAAAATTGGGTGTTTGATTCAATTAATAACATAAAGATAATAAAAAGGGACCTATAATCAACTTACTGTATACTGTAGGACTATTTCGTTCATCCCTGCATTAATAATGAAAAAAGCTTTCTGAGAAAATGTTATTCTTATCATGAGAAACTGTAAGTACCGTGCTACTTATGCATGACCACAGTATATCTAAAAACCATGCTACGCCCCAGGTTGGACTTATTCAACCATAAGAGAAACTCTGGGAAACATTATGCCTTTACATAAAGAATTAATTTGCATTAACATGAATAAGTAAAAAGCTCAAAGTGAATCAATTGCAAGGTCGCCAGATAGGAACCTTTGTCATGTTTTAAGAGGTTAGTTCTCACAACTCTCAAAACCAACACACAAGCTCCAAATGTTAAAAACACTAGGACTGAAATAAAGCTGTCCTTCTGGATTTAACAATAAATGTTAGACACAACTGAACACACACACTAATTTAAAGATGAAGCTTTGTTAAGGACTTCCTATGCACTCCAAACGTTTGGCAGCCGCGTTGCATTGCAATCTGCATTGAAGAGGCTGAAACACTGACATGCATTGACATGAAACTCTGCTTTATTTACTGCCTGCTGACCTATGAGGTACTTCTGTGATTTTCCACGGACGTGTGTGTGCATATTATAAAAGCGAGAGGCATGCTGATGCTTAAACATCAACCAAACATGCATTTTCATCTCATGCTGCAGCCAATGTTGCTTTTGCAGGGTTAAGACGGAAACTTTTGCATCAGTACAGGTTCATTGCCGAGGAATATAAGCCAGGGCTTGAGGCAGAGTGCCGTAGAGATTTGCATGTTATATTTTCTCTCTTGGTGTTAAGTCAGCAGTGAGTGATGGAGGCAAAAGGCCGGAGCCACAGAGGCCAAGCCAAGAACAGGGAACAAGCCTCTGCTAATTTCCTGGCAAAAAAAATTAAAATCATAATTAACACGTTAGATGCACAGGCTGCGGTTGTCAAGGTAACTGATGACACCGCATTATCACTTGGCGCTACTGCATCCTCCACCCTCCCTCTTTCCTCCCATTCATCAAGCAGCCATTGAACAGCTCTGAGCCGGGAGGAAGGGGGAGGGCAACCTCACCTAAACTCATATTAAACTCCTATTTATTCACATAAGAGAGTTCACACACCTTTATTAGTCTGGTATTAAACTTGGAATGGCAATTACCATAATATATGATTACATGTTACAATGGGGAATGGTGGGCCTGGGAAATCATAAGTTACTGCATATTTTATGGCTTTATAGGCCTACACTACTCTCTTATACGCAGGGGCGGATCTACCGGGGTGGCATGGGGTGGCAACTGCCACCCTAAAAAGTAGCCTTGGCACCCCAGCTGCCACCCCAGTAGGCAGCTTTGTTTTGAAATAAAAGTTGTGGCTCATCGGACATTTATGAGAAAATCCCTAATGTCCGAGTACAAGTGAATGCAGCACAAGACGCGAGCCTTGTAACCCCTCCCCCGGCCCTGGCGCGAGCGTGGAAATGTGATTGGCGGCGATTTCATTTGAACGGGACAAGCATTCCATATATATATATACAGTCTATGATTCGGACCCAAGTAGACGGAAGGAATGAGGTATTTGCGGTCTACAATGACAGAGAAGAGACTGTCAAATTTGGCTGTACTCAGCATTGAATCAAAACGCACTAAAGCTTTAGATCTTAATACGTTTGTGATGCGTTTTGCTGAACAAGATGGTAATCGCCACATTCAGCTGTTATAGGCATGCCAACTTGATACTCTGCTCACGGATGACTCGATGAGCATAGAAAACTGTTAAGATGATGACCTTACGTGTGTAAATATTATTTTTTTCTTTGAGGAGGTCTGCCCCCCAAAAACTGTTTTAAGTCCTGAGAAAGTCAAATAAGACGGTGTGTAAAACTACACTGCCCAGCCAAAAAAAAGTAACCACTTTGATTTAACTAGGCCAGTAGGTAAGGACTTTCCACTGGATAATAACTGCAGCGATGTGTATATGTTTTAGCTGAATACACGTTTTGTAACCCTAACTGATGCAGTTATCATATTAATTCAGACAAACATCGATGAGACAGTTAATTAATGTACTTATTGCAGCAGTCTGAATAGATTTGGTACCCCTGCTGGTCTAAGAGTGAAACAAACTCATTCAGTTATTGTTCAGTTAAAATTCATTCAATTATGTCTGCCACCTTATATATCTCTATTTAAGGCTTTACTGATGTGCCACAATAATGTCACCTAATGTTATTGAGTTAAAATATCAATATTGTGGTTTTCCAAGTTAACATTGATTGATATGACTGCGATTAAATCAGCATATACTTCTGCCAGGGGATGCCACCCCTCAACATCTCCTGCCACCCTCTTGCCACCCCATGAATATTTTTTCTAGATCCGCCCCTGCTTATACGCTAATTACAACAACAAAAAACACACACAGTATTTTCTTTTCCAGAAAGAGTATCCCTTTTATACCCAGTTTTTCACAGGGACCATTTAATTATTTTAATTAGCATATAGCTGTAGCCATAACGTTATATATCTTCCGATAAATGAAAGAGTACTCAGTTTTGTCTTTCTGCTGCTTTCAGGTCTCCTGCTAAAAAACGTACTTATTCAATTATTAAAACAACGTAGGCTATTGAAAATATTTCCCAAATTCTTATATCTAACAAATTGAACATCAAACTGAACAAAAAAAGTTATAGAAGATGATTTGTAGCCCTAGCTAGCTAAACCACCGGGTTTGCATAGCAAGACAGTTGGGTGTTTTTAACAAGACTCCAAATATATTCTAAAAACATATGTTCAATCACATATGAAACTATATGTGCAATATCAGCAATAAAGTTACTTAGCAAACAATAAAGACGAACATGTTTCGTTCTGTGCATTAATATTTAGCTGCACTTACGGTCAGCGCATTAATATTTACACTGACTGTCAGAAGTAACAGGTGTATCGGAAATTACCAACGGTTTCGAGCGCGACTCAGCCAATCAGAACGGACGACTTAAACTCTCCTGGTCCAGGATTGGTTGATCATTTCCAGTACTTGAGGAATGCGAACGTGGGCTAGTGCCATATTGTCCAATCAATGACTTGGCCACGGAGCACAGCGGACCTGTGTGAGCAGTTTGTGTCGGAGAGGCGGAGGGAGCAACATCAACGTGGAGCCTTTGAGCATCACAGACATTCACCGCAACGATAAAACTGAAATAACGTGACTATTCTCGAAAGATATTTTTTAGAAAAACGTCCTCTCACCGGTTTTATACGATATCTTTGTGTTATTTTTTTGTACTGGAGGGGAACGGCGAGCGAGGCTTCACTGCGGCTAATCAATTTTCCTCTTCCAGACCTGGGAATTACAATGAAAAATGTAGGTGACACATTTCGTTTCACAAACCAGGACTCACAATAGCGAAGACGGCGAAGAAGAAAGCAGGTAAAAACAACCTTCCTGAGCTCTGCTTGTTGAAGAGAGACGTAGACATTGAAGTGATATCATGTTTTTAACCGTGCGTAACTTCAAATACAGTCATTTGTTTCGGGGGAAAAAGGGGGTCTGTGAGTGTCGTATTTACAGCCACAGTCGACACCATGCTTTTTTATTGTCATACCTGACTGATAATGGTAACTTAAAAGGCATCAATGATGCCACATTTTCACTGCTAGGGCGCATGTGTGGCACTGCAATGTTTGCGCTTTATTGTTGAGCCTCCATTGATTTATTGAGGTGGGAAAAACTGTTGTCTCCTCTGGATTTTAGTTCACTTCATACGAGACACCGTTTTTTTTTTTTTCAAAAGGGGGAATATGGTGACGGGTGCTGCATCTATAGGATCAGCATCCTCTCTGTGGAGCCCCTGCTTAAAAGAAAAAACAGGTTTTGCTGCCTTCATTTCTTCGGTGTTGTGGTGCTGCAGTGTGTTAGACAAGAAACAGGTTTTTATTATCATGAGGTTGTCTCATCTGCTGCTATACATACGTACAATACAGTTACGCCTCGGCATAATGCAACAAAACCCTCCCTTTTTTTGTCTCACTGTGATCCCATGAATGCAGCATCAACCATACATGTAGTCGCATAGCTGCTTAATACAATGGGTGGTTGTAATTTTGCATTCATGCGTTTGTGTGTTGCTACATTAGAGTCATGAAGTAAAAGATGGATCACACGCTTGCACAAACAGACACACACAGATGAGTGCCATGACTGGCTGCAATGTGAGCATAATTGCCTCATGAATGCTAATGCAGAGAAACACTGCAAACTAACTGCTCCCCTCTGCACTGCATCCTCATGGGCTTACAGGTGCTCAGGCTAGCCTTATCTAACTTACTGTGTGTGTGTGTGTTTGGGAATGCATGCGTGCAGGTAGGCGTCTGTGTAGGTGCGTGTTTGTGGATGATATCACCTTGCATACAGTTGCAGGGACATGTGTGGTTGAGGATGTGTTTTAACCAGGGTTTTTAGAGCTGCACACACCTACACCTGCCTCATCAGATTACTAAAGTGAGGGTACATTAGAGAAGTGCTTCCCATCCTCCATAATTCAAACACTTACATCAGCCCGTTTGGCAACATAAAACATTCTGGTGTGATATTTCACTTGCAGCAAAGTGACTAATTGAAATTTAACATTAAAATCCAGCCGGGAAACACTTTAAAATCTGTAAAACTAGCGAAAAATAGCCCTCTCGCATTCCGAAAAGGCCTGGGTAATGTCTGGATTTGACTTGTTTTGTCCCACAAGGAGAAAACAAAACTCAAAAATATTGAGATGAACCAGAAATATAGATTATTTATATAATTGATTGATGTAGGTAACTAGTTTGTGATAAATGTAGACGTTATTAAGTCAGAAACATTTGGAAAATGCTTAAAAAAGCTCTTCAAATTGCCTTTAAATTGTTCAATCAACAGCCAGAAACCTTTATTTCTAACTTGCAGTGATATGAAACAAAGGCAGCAAATCCGCACAAAAGAGACTGAAACCAATTAACACTTTTCACTTTGTCCTGATGGATGACTTAATCGGTTTTCGGGGTTGTTAAGGATTGATATCCTCTGATTTATTGAACTCATCATCAAACATTAATGCAGGATTTCTACGTACATTTCTCTAAATCTAAAAGCAGCTCTTTCACCACCAACATTGAACATGAACACGCGGGTGAGAAATCCTCTACAAAAGGGGAAGAGGGGCCACTCGGTCCTCCCACAGTAGCTTCTATACACCAGACTGCAGTGCAGCCACAGGACGTGCTGCGTTTGAGTGAGGGGCATCGCTGCGATTATAGATGCGTGTAACTCTACAGCTGTACGATCACACTTTCAAGCTGTTTGTGTTTCTGTGAACGCCTACCTTTGAGTGAAATGAACAGGTTCACGCCCACTCTCTGGGGGCTGTAGTAAAGCATTGTGGGGAAAAAACAGGGAATCACTGACTGAAGTGGAAGAAGGTACAAGTTGAGGACAAAGCCGTTGCACATCACAGGTGGATTGTATAAGAGTGAGTATCAGATGGGGGTTGTTCCCCATCAAGGGATCCTACACTGGTGTTTATTTTGGGTGAAATGTACCTCCTTTAGGTGTCTTTTGAAGGCAGTGTAGTCGAATATCTAAAGTAAAGGTCCATTGTTGCATGATTGGTGACTCCACTTATGGTTGCCGGGCCCCATTCCCGATGTGGTGGAGGAGGTGTATCGTCTGCAGCTCGGCCATCCATCATGGTTGTTTTATGAGTCAGCGGTGATTAATCTGATCGGTGGTGGTCAGGCTTTCAGTGCACCCTAGAGAACGAGCTTCAAACGGGCTGTGTACGTAGACAAACGGCCACAACGGCCCCCCCCGGATGTTGTGGGGTTTTACCGGCAGCATGAGAGACTCAGGTGCTCACGTCATCACCGGGGACGTGGGCACAAACTGACAATATTCGAACAAAACACAAACAACCTTGAGGAACAGACACATTTGTGTTTGTATTGTACAATGACTCCTCTTCATGGAACTTCCCCCACTGCATTGTTGATGTGAGAGGAATGTAATGTGTCTTTTTACAGGGGCAGAAAAAGCCAGATCCAACAGCTGTGAGTCTTTAAGAGGATGCTCTCTTAAAAGTACCTTATTTAAAGAGTGACATGATAGGCATTCAATAACTATATCTTTAACCCATTTGTCATCTATAGTGGACATATTTTATTGGTGGTTTTTCCATGGTGCCATGGCTGACCTGTTTGTTACCATGTCAGCTGGGAATATGGACAATTATACTGAAGCAAATTCAGAGCCTGCATGGCTGGACAGCAAGCTATTTAGAGTCAACCACATGTCTTATGCATAGATAAAGTAGAACATAGATTTTCACTGCCTGGAATTGAAGTGACTCTAGTAATTACAAATGACCCTCCTGCTGAATGGAAACACTAGCCGTTTATATATATATAGAGATATATCCCACAGCTTTAGAATAATTATGTATATATATTGTTTCGGAAGACAAAATGTCTCCATTATAGTAAATATGGGCGTCTATGATTTCTGATACTTTGGTACCAAGTTGTTCAATTCTGAAATGTGACTGTACCGTCATTGCTCAAGCCATGGCGCCTCATGGGGAGGAACATTTGTCAAACTGAGATGTTCCCCTGGCTTCGCACCCTGTTTTTCCCTGATCATTCTACTGTGTGAACATCAAATCAGTCGTGAAATCAGAAGCAGAAATAGTTCAAATGAGATGTTAGTCATGCCTGCCTAAATAAAAGTAACACCTACTGCCATTGGAGCATCAAGGTAAATCTCTATTCAGTAAGAATGAGAATTGGGAAAAGATCAATTATAACGTTATTATTATGGTTCAAATGCTTTCCTGTTAAATTTAGTTTTATGCAACAAAAAAAAAAACAGAAAATTAATAGTCTTTCACAGCAAGTATTGTTGTGAAATATTTATTTATTTTATTAACAAGATATCAATTTGGCATATAGAATCATGAAATGTATTGGTATTGGTATCAGCTAGTACATTTCCACTAAAGGGGTGGACAGTCAACCTCATTTATCAGATTACTTACTTATACATATCAAACGATTAATTTTCCGTCTTTATAATCACTAGCCAAGTCTTATTAAACTGACAAGAGGTATAGATGTCGAGTCGTACCGATACTTCAGCTTAAGATATCTATCAAGCTATTTATTGTGTTCATTAACTCCAACACTAAAAGCACACACACTTAAACCTAAAGGACCACATTCTGTCGTATCCTTCTGAGAAGTATTATACACCACATGAAGCCTCCATGAAGCTTTGCATGTATTAGTTATTTATCTAAGTCATATACTTCTTTTCTTTTTATACGTAGTCTTTAAAAAACGTATTGACATATTTTTTGGTTAGGGGAAATGAGAACAACAACTTTAGTACACCTTGGTCCATCAGCAGGCCATTAAAGTCATGTTATAATATTATATTTCATCAATGCGATAATGTACATTTATTTGTTTAATATCATTTACTGTCAGGTTATTTGATCTATAAGCACTTTACAGCAACATTGTGATAAAAACATAATCCAGGTTTCTATATAAAATTGAATATAAAGTATTACATTTAAACCAACGTTTAAGATAAGATAGTACTTTATTGATTTGCGAAATGTTTGCGTTGGAGCAGCATAAAAAAGACATGGCATTGTACAAATTCAAAGACTAGAAATAAACAAGAAAGTAGCAAATATACATGTTGAATTAACAAGGTACTATGTATACATACATAAATATATGACCGATGGAATATTTAAATATAGAACAGATTATATAAATGTAAAATGTACAGTGTGATTTTATTCCAAGAGAAACTATGTAGCAGAGAGTTCTCTTCCAGCCAGAGGAGATTTGTTGTAGAGTTATTGCAGTGGAATGTTTTCCTGTATCGGCCCTTGTGACCGCGGAGCTGCAGCAGTCTGTTGGAGAAGGAGCTCCTGTCTGTCCAGCTGCAGGTGGAGAGGGGGGGTGGGTTATCTGTCTGTCCAGCTGCAGGTGGAGAGGGGGGGGGGGGTTATCTGTCTGTCCAGCTGCAGGTGGAGAGGGGGTGTGGGGTTATCTGTCTGTCCAGCTGCAGGTGGAGAGAGGGGGGTGGGGTTATCTGTCTGTCCAGCTGCAGGTGGAGAGGATGGGTGTGGGGTTATCTGTCTGTCCAGCTGCAGGTGGAGAGGGGGGGTGGGTTATCTGTCTGTCCAGCTGCAGGTGGAGAGGGGGTGTGGGGTTATCTGTCTGTCCAGCTGCAGGTGGAGAGAGGGGGGTGGGGTTATCTGTCTGTCCAGCTGCAGGTGGAGAGGATGGGTGTGGGGTTATCTGTCTGTCCAGCTGCAGGTGGAGAGGGGGGGGTGGGGTTATCTGTCTGTCCAGCTGCAGGTGGAGAGGGGGGGGGTGGGGTTATCT